GAACTCCTTGCTGGTGTTTGCAAAGCAGGCAGCCTTTGGAGGAGCGATGGCTTACTTAACCATCGGCTGGAAACAACTGCTCTCACTCATTACCAGGTCCTCCTGGTGTGTTAGGAAGAGCCCAGGAGAGTGGGCCTGACATCGGTTACTCATTTAACCTCTGCCAGTCCCTTAACTTCTCCGCCCTGGGCTGGCTTTATCTGTGGGAGGCGGGGGCTGGCCAGATGGCCCCCGGGACTCAGTATAATGGCCCCTCTAGAAGCAGCAGGAAGTTACTCAGAGGGAGGTCATTAAGAGCTAGGTGACTCAGCCTCAGGGACTGGAGGAAGTCAAGCCCCCACCCCCCAAGTCCTGCTCCAGAATCGGAGCCACTGGAGCTGGCTTCCTCTCAAGGCTTTATTTCCGTCTCGTTTCGAGAGGGCACCCATCACCCCACGTGCTGCGCTGGCGCCCAGTAAACAGTGGCTATGGAGGAAGTCTCAGGAGGCAAGGCCCTTGGGCCCGTCCCCACTGCTCCTTCACCCACTCCGAAAGAACAGGACAGGAGTCCTTCCCAGCCCTGACCTCCAGCGTACACAGGATGTGGCAGTCAGGCAGACCAGCTAATGGGATCCAGGAACCTGGTCCGGCTTGTTAAGTGTTTTAGTGGACTCTGCTGCACTCAGGGCACAGAGGCTGTGTTTATTAGCCACTCTTGTCTGCTTTCTATGCGTAAACATTTTCCGTCTCCTCTTTTACACATCACATTGAGCCCCAGCAAGGGGAACTGGAGGACCCATGTTTGCTTGGGAACTAAACTTCTGGGTCAGAAGCCACAAATCCACATCCACGACCAGCCGTGGTTCCAATCATGGCAACAGGCACAGTCTCCATAAAACCACTTCTGGAAGGTTTCTCTTCTCTTTTGTTTTCTGGGCAAGGCCAAATTATTAAGTCTGTTCTTAATCATGATTGTTACTTGTTAGTCCTGGATGGAAAGCTGCTGATACTGAAGCATCTCTGTGTAGAAAACCAGAGGAAGCCAGAACTCTAAGGCAAGAAAGGAGTAATAAGTGTTATCATTTATAGCCTGTAAAGGAAAGAAAAGCCTCCATATAGGATGGAAAAGATGTGGCTTATACTTCCTACCTAGCTGCTCATTTGTAAAAAAAAAAAAAAAAATCATTCCACTCATAAAGTTAACCATCCATTAGTGAGTAAGAGCTGTTCCCAATAATTGGTGTACCCCGTAGGGAAAGGAACATAGTTAGAGGTTAGAGTAATGGGCCAGGTGCCCTTGACTCCTATTTCTGGTTCCTTCACTGACTTGCTGTGTGGCCTTAGGCATTTCCCCCTCATTTCTCTGGGCCTCATTTTCCCCAAGAAGAAAGTTTCCCACTTGCTGTTTGTAACGGGGGGGGGGGAATGCTAAAAGATCAAAGAAGAGGTGTCTGCTTTTTAAAGATGCCCCAATGAAGTGCATTAGGCCTTTTTCATAGGTATTAATTAATAAGTCCTTTGATTACTGTTAGACCTGTGTTTGAGATTTTAGGTAGCTCCTTGGGCAGAATTGGCCATAGGAATTAGCCAAACTCCTAAAGGATCTAGCCCAGCCATAACCATCTTTGTGCGTCCGATGAGTTCTTTATGTGGAGTCCCAAAACATGTTGGTGTCTTTAGCTGGTGGCTGGGTTATGATAGCTGCAGTGAGTAAAGGGGTTCTTTTGAAGTGACATGGATGATCGAGGGCTGCCCCCAAACCAGCGCCTCGGAGCCTAGTGTACCCTGTTCATAAAGGGGAGCCAAGCCGAATGTCTGCAGTTTATCTGCTTGTTGTTCGACTCTACCAGCCTCAGAGGGAGGGTTTAGTAGGCACAGCCTCAGAACAGCGGGCACGGGGGCCCTCGATCACAAGAGGCCACATTGGTGCGTGGGGTGTCCAGCTGCCTTCATCCCCCTGCCTGTTTCCAAGCACTCGATGTCCCCCCAGGTGTGGAAGGAAAGGATGAGACCATTTTTCCCTCATGAACACCTCCCCTGGGTTCCTGGGACCTTCCTGGCCTGGAAAACTACCCTCCTACCCTCCCTTCCCAGTGTTTTCATTTACAAAAAAGAAGAAAAAAAATAAGGAAAAAACCCTGCCTAGAGCAAATGGGGCAAAGCCCCTGTTCTGCTCCCGTTGGAAATGCCTACAGATGCTGGGAGGTGGGCCGTCAGGGTTCTGTGCCGAGGCAGGAGTCTGCAATGCACCATCAGTAGGCAGAAGGGCCACAGCAGATACAAGGTTGTGTTCTGGTCCTTGGCAGACACGAGGCTCTCCACTCCAGGGGCGTGGGGAGTACTTTCGGGGAACACCCAGCATAAGTTCTGTTTTATAAAAAGACAGGGAGGGAGAAATTGCCAGGGAACACAGCCCGAGTGTTGGGCTTTGGGAGTTTTCACCAGGAAGGAGGGAGCTCCCGACCCGAGGCCCATGTGAGGTGCTCACCAGCGCACCAATGCCAAGATGATAAAGCCCAGGAGGTCTGCCCATCAGATGCATCGTCCCCCACATGTTGTCCCCCAAAGACAGTGCCTGAGGCATGAGCATCAGTCAGGACCAGTGGCATAATCTTCCGGGCCCAAGACAAATGAAAATTCAGAGCCTATTGATCAAGCTTATTGAGAATTTTGAGATGGAGACAGCAGAATGTTAGACCAAGCACAGGGCCCTCGGGTCACACACCCGAGAAACAGGTCCTGGCCGAGGCTCCGCCTTACCTGGCCAGGTGGGTGCCACGCACATGCTGCAAGTCCCCCTCAGGGATCAGCCATCTCCTACCCACCCTTCTCTTTGGAGAAAAGGGGATGGGGGGTAGGCAGGGTACTAAATCCATACACTTCAGATTTCTGGGACTTTTATTTTCTTAAACCCCAATGACAGGGCTAGAAGTTTAAAAAAAGAAAAAAAAAAGCTTAATAATTTTGGTTGTTCTGGAGTTAATCTACTTCATTTGCCAAGATTTGGGAGAAGTAAGAGCAACTAGACTTGCACTGAGACCTGAGTTCACTGAATATTTAGTTTGTACCAGTACTGTGCTAAGGATCTGTGTTGCTTCTACCTTAGAAGTGTTATTGCCATTTTACAGATGGGAAAACTGAGGCTAAAGGAGATGCAGTCACTTACCTGTTGTCACACTGTTTGGATGTAAGGGGCTCAGGATTCAAACAAATGTAGCCGGACTCCAGAGCATCTGCCTGGCCACTTTGTTCTACCTACCTCCAGGTTACAAGGTCAGGGAGCTGTTAGTTCTGGTGCTTGTGTGTCTGTGGCCAAGTTCAGGTGGACCCTCAGTAAATACCTATCAGTGGGGAATCAGAGAGGAACTCTGTGCATTTCACTACGGGATTTAGCAGAGCAATCAGTTAAGAGCTTAAGGCTCAGATCTGGGACTCGAGTCATCGACTACACAGGTGGCTTTTCATCTGTGATCGGACACAAGGCTCTCTGAGCTCCTGTAGGACTTGCTTTCCTTGGAACTGACCTGAAAGGAAAAAAGGAAGTACAATTTTCCTTGGACTTCAGAGCAAAATGTACTCTGAGCTGTAAGCAAAAGAGATGGCTCTGAAATCAGAGAAAATCCATGTCCTCCTCCCCATTAGGCAGACAGAATCATTTTAAGATTCTGCAGAGCAGGTTGTGAGAAGAAGGCAGCCTTGCCGGAAACAGTTTTATTCTGGCCCAGTTTGACAACAAGGCGGAGTCCTTTGGCCAGGCCTGTGTCTTGGGCCTGGTAAGGAGGATTGATGGGACACAGAAATTGTCCTCTTGCAGGAAAGAATGTGAACAGATCAGAAAGTGTCAGGGGCGTCAGGTGAGAGGATTCTGGGTCTAAGACAAGACCCTGGAAAGCATCTGCCTTAACTCAGTGGGCTATGCAAGGGAGGACCAGGGGAAGAAATCAGCCACTTGCAGGGTGAAGATCTGTTTGGCCCTTCTTTTGGCTAAACAAACTCAAATTCTATTGAAGGGACTGCAATATTGCATCAGATACAAATATGAATGTTATGGGCATAAGTTGAACTTCTTTTGACATTTCCCTCAGAGTTTAAATAACTTTCTTTTTCATCCAATGCAAGAACCCCCTCGCAGAGCAGTGTTGCCACTCTAATTACTCCCAAACATCTTAGTGAACAGACTCGCTCAGCCAAGGAAGAATGTCCACCAGGGCCTTCAGGGCCTTTGGGCAGTGCCAGGAACTCTGTTTAGCTCCCACTGTTCAGAACGGCCCTAATTTCACTCTCCGATGCCCCAGTGGCCACAAGCCCCTGGCTGCAGCATCCCGCTAGCCCTGATTTTCTTTGTGCTGAAGAAAGAAGTTGGGCTTGTCAGGCTTCTGTTGTTATCTGGAGTCGCCTGCCCCCACATAGGGTCCAAGCAGCCCCTACCCTTGGAGGGGAAGCTTCCCCAGCCGCCCCAGATCACCAGGGCGAGTCTGCCGCTGACACATTAGTGGGCGGGAAGTGGAGTCCCGAGGGGAGGCTGGGAATGCAAGCGCCTTACCACTGGAGCACTGCAGGGAGGAAGCCGGATCAGCGCTGCAGGCAGATGGCTACTGCTCCCTCCTGAGAGCGCTGGCTCCCTCCCTCCCTCCCTCCGCCAGCCCGCCCTCCACTCCTCCTCCTCCCCCTCGCCTTGGAGGGAAAACTGCAGAGCTGGGAACTATCTTGGAGAATTCAACAAAGGCCCAGCAGAGCCGGGGAACCACTTGAAAAGAACTTGTTTTGTTCCTGTTGAGAAGCCTGCAGGAAAATCCACACCCACGTTGCCGGGGTTTTGAACTGGAGAGCTGTGTGTGTGCGTGTGCGTGTGTGTGTGTGTGTGTGTGTGAGTGTGAGAAGCAAGAGGCTTAGGAGGTGCAAACAACTGCACGGGTTCAGCTCTGATAAGGAAACTGCCAGCTGTAAGTTCAGCCGCAGACAGAGGACTGCAGCCGTGAGCCTCTCACACTTGAACTTCAACTGCATTGTTTTCTGTCCAGATATTCCAATGGAGACAGTTGGAAAACCTGTATTTCAGAGAGAAGAAGTTTTCTGTGGAAGTTCATGACCCACGCAGGTAAGCTAGAAATGTTTTTTCCTCCTGGGAGTGCATGGCCCTTCTGACATATTACTTACATTACTATTTTTGTGCTGTCACTGTTCATGTTATTAATAATTTAGGGGGAAGAAGGTGGTTGACTGGGAGAATAGAGTTCAAGTAAGACAGTAGAGCTTTGTTTTTGTTCTGTGTGTTGAGAAATTCTATGTGTGTGTGTAAAGAGCAATGCCATGATCATCTCATCTGACTACATGTGTTACTTGCCTGTATATGTGGAGTTGTCTTTACAAGCCAGGGCACTTTAGGAAAGATTTGTAGTGCTTTGGAACAATTACCAAATTAAAGTGAGCAGTAGCCTGAGTCCTTTTAGGAAGTTTTTGCCAGGGAAGAGTCTGAGGGGTGGCTTGTCAGTTTCTGAGACTGTTTTTGGTTGGACGGTCAGCAGCAGAGGGAACCCACAGTCTAAAGAGTTGTGCTGAATGGTCTCATTCCGTGAGCTGTAACTTTAGGGTATTAGCAGCGGTGGGTGGATATGAAAGAAATGCAAGTCTTTTTCTCTCCACCTTACATTGTACCCCAGGGAGCAGTCGTGTCAGAATCAGTGCTCCCAAGTCCAGCACTGAACAATAGGGTCCCATTGTGGAATGCAGCAAGCCCTTCGAGGAAGGTTCTCAGGTTGGGGTTGGAGGTGCACTGTGATTTTTCCTCTCTTTGTCTGCTAGTCTTAGAGTTATAGGCAGCCCAGAAGCAGCAACAGAATTCCCTGAAAACAGACCTAATGCTTAAGGATAGATCACTTTCAACAGGTCCAAAAGCAGACTGAGAACAGGAAGGAAGCCTTGGGAAGACAGGCGGAGGGCAGGGTCTCTGGGGGAGTAAATGGGAACGTGATGTGCTCTTGCTGCCCTGGCCACGGCTCAGGGCAGAGGAGCTGTTGGCACCAGCTTCCCACACACATGGCTTCTGGGTGTTCAGGCCAAGGTGCCTCCCAGAAAGTTCTCAGCACAAGACCTCCGGAGTAAGGTTCATGCCCCGTCAGAGGGTGAGGCTTGTTGGGGGGTGGCTGTCTCTGCTCCTGCAGCCAGTGATAACCCAAGAAGACTGATGCATCACTCGCCTGGTTCTGTAATCTGCGTGAAGCAGCCTCCCATGTAGCCAAGAGCGCCCCCCATGTGCCACAGTTACCATGCATTCGGCAAGCTGAAAATGACCTAAGTCCAGGTGGTGGTCAGGTGATGACAGGAGTGTTGGCAGCATTTTTCAGGGTCCAGTGATGAAGGGTCTCATGGTCTAGAGACCCGGTCTCTACAGAGCAGGAATCCGTTGGTGCAGGACAGGTGGTAGCGGAGAGACGCTGAAAACAATTTCCCCAAATGAGTGCTACAGTGGGTCAGATGAAGAAAACGCGGATGACTGACAAAGATGGAGATTGAATGACCTAAGAGACCGAGGGTAAGGACTAGACAGACTCTAAGCCTGTGTTCTGTTGAGAATTCTGCTAAGGCAAAGGTACCTTGGACACATCCTTGCGTGTCTGTGTGTCTGTGTTCTTGTTCTCTCCAGGCCTGTTGTCCTATCGTGTTGTAATACCAAATTCCCTTCCTTTTCCCAAGGCCCAGGGATATCGGAAAGAGTCCAAATCCCACAAGTTCCTATTACATGGGCCTTTAGCCTATTACATGAAAGTGATCCATCTCACATTTGTTGTGTAGCATCAGTGTTTGGGCAGTGTCCTGTAACAGTGTTCATAACTTACTATGTGTTACTTTGTTATGGGGCCTGGGGTATAGAAAAAAGTTATACAGGGTCTACTTGCCCTGAAGAGAACTTCTAGCACAGCTGGGGAGAAGGAATAAGGAACTTAATGTGTATTAAGTGTTTGCTATGCACAGTCACTGTTCTAAACACTTGGACTGTTATCTGATTGGGTCCTTGCTATAACCCTCAGAAGTAAGTACTAGTATTCTTGTCCTACTTGGGAAATAGGCACAGACGAAGCACCGTAACCTGCTCCAGGTTACAGAAAGCAAGCTGGATAGAGGCAGGGTGTGAACCCGGGGAGTCTGGCTCCATAGTTCACATGCCTTCCACCACATTATACATGGACAGCGGGTACCAAGTACCAAACGACAGAGCCTATAAATACTGCAGCTGGCCAGGTTGGTCTGGAGAGGCATCCTGAGAAGGTGAAATCCTTAGCTAAGGATGTAGAGCTCAAAGTGGGCCCTCTGGGGGATAAAGATGCCAGTCAGGTGGGTGTCAGAGAGAAGAGGGAGGTGGAGGAGCCTGAGGCAGCCCAAGCGCTGAATGTGAGCAGTGACCACATCCCCTCAAGGAATGGAGTCCTCTGTCAGCCCAGAGACCGGCAGAGAGAGGAAAGGGGAGGCGAGGAGGGGCCAGAGATGTGGCTTCCTTGATGTCAGAGGTGGAAATCCAGGTTGACGATGGCTTTAAAGGTGCACCAGAGTAGGCAAAGGGGACCATTCTAGATTAGCTGCTAAGCTGAGTGGTGTAGCCAAAGCTCCAACCCTGACTTCCGCCTGGCGCTTCAGTAAGCACTCTTCTACAGGCCTCCTGGCGCTCCTCCAGTTAAACGTGTCATCCTGTTGCTGTTGCCTTGTTTATTTGAACACGGAAGAGTCATCTAATAGTCTGTACTTTGTTGGGATGGTTCAGTAGTCAGCCCCTCCCCCAACCCAGGAAGGAAGCCAGGACTGAAGTTACAGGATGGCAAGAGCCAGGGCAGAGTCGTGTCCTGAAGACCAGTGTCCCGGGACATGGCAAGTACAGGGGGTTGGCTCGGCCGCCACAGAAGATGCTTCAAGATTTTCTCTCCTGGAGATGCATCCTGACACAATACCCAACATTGTGTCTGCGGTTCACTGGGCTTGGCAGACATTCCATTTCTAAGGTTTTGGCCAAACAGAAGAGTCGGTGGGATGGGAAGAGCCTGAAGGGAACCCTGTAGAGAAGAGACCAGCTCATAATGGAGCGTGAGAAACACCCTGGGAACATCTGATCCAGGTGCTGCTGGGCACTCCCAGGCCAGCCAGCCCCCCCGCTCCTCCTACCCCTCCACCTCACCTGAAAAATACACCTGCCTGGCTCTGCTGTCACTGCTGCCGCTGAAGCATGTTTCAAATGACTTTTCCTTTCTAATTCACCTTTTCCGGGGGCGGGAGGAACGTATTTACGCCCAGGATCAGCCATTGCTGTGGAAGCCAGGTTGAGTGTTCTCATCGCAGTTTCAGAGACCATGGGGGTTCCCTTCTCACTCTCTCGCCGGCTCTTTTTCTGTTATTTTCAACTGTGTGTTCTTCTGTGAGCTGGCATTTTGACTTTGGTTTTAACCAAAAGAATAAAGTTCTGCTTAGAATCTGTAGTCTTAACTAACCACCAGTTTGGAATTCCTCCTTAAAAGTGGGTCTCTAGAACACCTGCTGTTAAATCTTGAGACCCTAAAAGAAGATGATTGGAGCAGCTTCTAATTTCCTTCAAGGAAAAAAACTGGCCATGAAAATAATGTGATTATTCACAAGTTCTGATCACCCCCAAGGTTCTGGAAATGCAACAGCTCAATCTGGAACGCATATTGTTCTTCTGACGTGCATATAAGATACCCCAAGCTTCACCCCCTGCCCCCTCACCTTGCCCTACAGATGCACACCCGTGAGTATGCACACACACATTCTGAGATTTCACTTGCAAAATCGCGTGCCCATCCTATAAAATATGTTTTACTAAGAACACGATCATATAACTTTTCCCCCATGGTTCCATTAATGTGATGAATTACATTAGGACCAGTCTCTCCCACCTTCCATTTAAAGTTGGATTGCCTCTCTCTGCACTGTCCAACATCCTCCACATCTCCTACATCCGTGTATGTGGAAGTGGTTTGGGTAGCAGGGTAGAGACTGGATGGGCCCATTTCTTTCTGCCTTCCCTATCCTGATTCTTTTTATACCCCACCTTTCCTCTGAATATATTTTAGATTGAAACCAGCTCTTTCAAGGAAGATTGCCTAAAAATAATGTAAGGAGTCCTGATTGCCTTAGATGATGTGGTGATTAGAAGAAAATTTACTCATCCTTCACCACAGGCAGTGTTGCCTGGTTAATAAAGGGCATTGTCAAAGGCTTTTCCTGTCTCCAAAGTTTGCGTTGGCCCAGTGCCGAGAGCTGAAGATCAGAAAAGACTGTCCCGTGAACTCGAATGACCCATCTTATTCCAGACAAGGCAGAGGCTTAGCCAAATTTTGACCCCTAAGGAGCCAGTAAATCAAAACATTAGCAGGATTCACAATAGCCAAGATATGGCAGCAACGTAAGTGTCCACTGATGGATGAAGAAATTGTGGTGTATATGCACAACAGAGTATCATTCAACCTTAAAAAAAAAAGGAGACCCTGCTGTTTGCAATAACGCGGACGGACCTGGAGGACATATGAAGTGAAATAAGGCAGCCGCAGAGAACAAAACTACATGGTCTCGTTTATAGATGGAAACTAAAAGAGTCAATACGCAGAAGCGGAGAGCAGAATGGCCATCACTAGGGGTAGGGCAGAGCAAGGAGGCAGGGGAAATGAAGAGATGCTGCTCAGAGGGTACAAAGGGGTAATTATTTAAGAATTAGCCTAGAGGTAGAATGTACAGCATGGTGACTGTAGTTAATATACTAAGAATGGCTAAGAACAGATTTCAGGTGCTCTGACCATAAACACACACAAGCACACATGATGGTAATATTGGAGGAGATGAGATACTCTTTAGCTTGACTGCAGTGATCACTGTGTATATGAAGATCAAATTATCATATTCTATACCTTAAATAGAATCCTTTTCTATTTAATAAAATGAAAAGCTGGCCTTTGTCAGCCAGCTGCACGTGTGTGCACACATGGCCCTTCGGTTACCTTTATGCCAGAGCTTTTGGACCCAGTGGGTTCTTGGTAAAAGCTGTGGACTGAGGACTGGAGTCCTTCGTGGCCAGCGCAGTTGGTTGACCCTTCTGGTTCTTGCTCTCCCAGGGCTTCAGTGACAAGAAGGACGTTTGGACACAGCGGCATCGCAGTGCACACGTGGTACGCGTGTCCAGCACTGATCAAGTCCATCTGGGCTATGGCCATTAGCCAGCACCAGTTCTATCTGGACAGAAAGCAGAGTAAGGTAAGGCCTTCTCCTGGGGTGGGGAGGGCCTCTGCCGAGACCAGACCTTCCACTGAGCCTTGAGCTCTCCCAAGGACAGGGCCCTTTTCTGGATCTTGTAGCTTGAGGATTGGGCATTGGATGGCTGGGAGAGGCCCTGCTTCCCTTGTTCTGAGATGGGCACAGGTACAGACTGGCCTTTTAGGGCTATCAGAGGCAGGAATGAGATCAACTCTTTAAGAGAATAATTCTTTCTCAGCGACGTGGTCAAGAGCAGTCAGAACCACTTAAGGCATTTGACATAGCCAGGTAGGAATTCTGCCCATGCTTTCAAACCCCTAGAGCCTCTCCCAGAAGTAAGTGGTCAAGCCCTTTTTGGTGTGTAAACACTGGCATGTTGTTTTCCTTTTGAGGAAAGAAAAAAAGCAACTAGTCTCAACTAATAGACACCACCTAACTGTTAAGGATAATTGCTTGTGAAAACCCTCCAGGCTTTTCCAACTGCCAACTCCATTTCTTAAAAATGCAAAACTGGAAACATTAAAAAAAAATTTTTTTTAAAAGCAACAACTCTGTTTCCCTCAGGTAGACCCAGAGCCTCAGGCCTTGATAAACAGTCATCCTCCAAGGGAGGTTTACTCCAGCCCAAGTTCACATACATGGGGTGGGGGAGGGGTGCATTTCCCACCCATCTGGTGGGTGGGAAAACGACATCTCCCCAGTTCACACAGGGCTTCTGTCAACATTCTGCCCCTTCTTCCTCCTGCCTCGGCTTCTGGGCTCCTCTCGCCTTCCCCACACAAGCCTCTCCCGTTCATTACCCCTCAGGTGAAGGGCCATATCAAGATGGGCTCTGTATCTTTCTCAGGATTCTGGTGGCTCAGGAAGGGTGGGGAATGGGCCTTGGCCCCTTGCCTAGCCGTACCATCACCCATGGGAGGTTTTGTCTCATCCCGTGAGTCCTGAAAGGGGAGGAGGTGGCAGGACTCTGGGCTTACTGGGTCCAAGACTTACTGGATTGATGCCCTTTAGGATTCTTGTGGCTTCCTCTTTTGTGTTATTTTCCTTCTGGTTGGAGATGCTTTTTCCCTGGCTTGGGGAGAAGATTGGAAGGAGAGATGTTGAGTGGGAGGTAAGAGAAAGATAGTAGGACAATAGGACAGGAAGAAAGCAAGCACACCCTTAAGTCATCATTCAGTTTCAAATCACGGCCTTTCCCAGTGGGAGTCACTTTCTCCTCTGTAACACATTTTCTCCTCTCCTAGGTCTTCTTCCTGACCCCCCTTTTGGTCATTTTCTAGGATGAGTGGGCACAGGGTGGAATATTTTTGTTGCCAGGAATAATGAGAGTATTCTACAGCTCTCCTGGTGATGACGGGCTTTGGCACAGGAATTTGAGGCCCGATTAGATCCAAAGAAACAAGGCCAAAGTGTTTTGACTCATGCTTTGTATTGAGAGAGTGGGTGGGTGTCAGTGATTTGCCCTCCAGTGGCAAGAGTTGGAGGTCGAAACCTTAGAACCTTGATTTTCTCTTCTGTACTGTTCGGCAATGCATGATGAGAGGTAAGAGAGTTTGACAACCCTCCTGAACCCCACTACCAATTTCTTGCGAGGACCCCACACACACTGATGCCACAATGTTGAATGCAGAAAAGAAAAAGCATGCTTCACCCTAAGGATGGTACCTTAGCTGTTTGAACTCCTCCTCCTCGTGCTGGCTTTTTGCATTAGAACATCTTTGGGGTAACTCAGGAAGCTCATCCTTAGAGTTCTACAGCACTATTGAAGGTTGTCTCACCTGCAATTGGGGAGGCTTTATGGAGCAGGCTTACAGGTCAACCCACTGATACAGCAAGTAAACCTTTAAAAGTAACCATCAGGGACTTCCCTGGTGAACCAGTGGTTAAGAATCCACCTGCCAATGCAGGGAGCACGGATTTGATCCCTATCCAGGAATATCCCACATGCTGCAGAGCAGTTAAGCCCGTATGCCACAACTACTGAGCCCAGGGACCCTAGAGCCCATGCTCCACAGCAAGGAAAGCCGCTGAAATGAGAAGCCCAGGCACAACTAGAGAACGCCCAAGAACAGCAATGGAGACCCAGTGCAGCCAAAAATAATTAATTAAAAGTAACTATCAAGGATTACCTGTTAATAAGAAGTGTCTCTTAAGAGACCAAACCAGACGCTTATAGCCATAGAGAACTTTCACCTCAGCAACCCCTGGAGGACTGAAGGAAATACACCTATTCCTAGGAGCAGGAGAATTTTCCCCAGATAGGCTCTGAATATTCACAGGTGCTCCAGAGCCCATGCATTTCCTTTTGGAACCAGTTCCTCTGCTTGCAGTATCGGGTGAGGAACAGGTTGCCCCATAGAGAAGTCCAAGGATTCTGCCTTCTCATTCTGTGACCCTGGACAAGCCTTTCCTCACTCCTTCTTTCTTTCCTCAGTTAAATAACAGCAAAGAAACCCCTGACCAAAATCATTCACTGGTCCAGTGACACAGTGTTTGTGATTGCTTCAGGAGATGTGAGCTATCTTTCATTATTATCGTTCTAATCGAACATACTGTTCCTTGGCCGACACCTGTGTAAAGTTTAAACTCTTTAAAAGTACCCCCAAACCAGAGATGATAAAATTTGCCTCAAGAATTGTGTTACAACACCTTTCACTCCTGGAATGTTCTTTAGACAATAGCAGTGTGACCCATCTCCAGTGGGCAGGATGGTTCCGGGTGAGTGATGGTTGGCAGGCCTGGGATGAAGTGTTTCCAAGTATTTCTGAGCAGCCAGTGTTGGCTGGCATGCCAGCCATTGCTTCACACTCTACTGTAGTGAGCCGTGCCAACCATTCCTTTCTCTGAAGTGCTTCAGCAAAGCCCAAGCCTCCCAAGGGATTCTTTTCAACCCCAGAAACAAGTGTGGTCTGGTGGTTGGAGTCAGCAGGGGTAAGTAACCGAGAAGTCTTGTGTTCATACACTGGCTCTTGGTTATTTTCTTCTTTCAGGGTTCTGGTGTAAATCACTTAAAATCTCTCCTTGTCTCTCTCTCTCTCTCTCTCTCTCTCTCTCTCTCTCTCTCTCTCTCACACACACACACACACACACACACACACACACACACACACACTCAGCCTCCATCACTAAAGGCAGAGCAGAAAGAGGCCATACTGGTTCCTTTCTGATGGCTCCTTCAGGATGAGGGGCTGTACAGTCACCAGTGACATTTGGTAAATTACATCTGCTGACCCCAAAGATCAGAAATGTCATCAGCTGGATCCTGCCAACCTATGTACCCAAGGAATCTCTAATAGAGTTCAGAGGAAGATATTTGAAAACTTAAATTGTTTAGAGTGACTATTAGTCACTGTTCCTCTGAATTCAGATTGAGGACTTGTTGAGTTGGCCCCCAGACCTAACATCTTTCCTCCTGAATCTTTTTTCCCCACTTGATCCATTCTGCTATTCTTTATTCTGTCTAGATCAAAAGCCAAGTGAAAGCATGGTAGAGGCCAGTTAAACCTTGCTCACAGAATGCCTATAGTAATAATTAGGACAGCAAGACCCTCCAAGCAAAACGTCTAGAGCTTTGGAGGTTCTCTGACCCAAAGACCTGACTTTACAAGGAGGGAGTCTCCCCATCAAATTGTCTCCTCTTGGTGCTCTCTCTCTTCCTGATCTAAGCAGGCATTGTGATATTTCTATTCTAGACAGAAGTCAGTAATTTCCTAAAACTTCTGAGAATCTAATCTCCCTCAAAAGCACACCTGTTGTCCCTTTTTCCTAGTTTGTTTCCTGTCTCTGAGGTCAGTGTGGCTGGGATGGGGTCGAGGGGGGACGGGTTTCCCACGAGATTGATGAGATCGCCTGAAATATTCAGTGGAGTCATTCATTGAACCTCATCTAGCAAATTCCTCCCAGGACCTGATTTATAGCTTATTCCAATTCCAGTGACCTTGATGTCTATTATCTAATTTAGTCCTGACATCACACCTCTGTGATGTGCGTTTTAAGAGCTTCATTTTACAAACAGGCATCTCAGGATCAGAGAGGTTAGAAATCAAGGTCCATCTGTGATTTGCTGGAAAGAGCCAAGATTCCAGTCCAGGTCTTTCTGACTCCAGAGCCTGGATCCTTCACCAGGGTGAATTGGGCTGTGACTTCATGAGTTATTCTTGCATAACTGCAAGCGTGGGCTTCTCTTGGTGACGCGTGGGCCTTGGTAAGAGAATACTGTTGAAAGAAAGGAAGTGATGGATTGTGCTTTCTCTGCTTTGCTCAGAGGATAAAACTTAGCCAGGTGCATGTGATTGATATTCTGTGTCAAAACGAAACGGAGGCCTTCCTGCTTTCTGCTACAAGCCAGAAAACCCTGCCAGGGACTGGCAGCTGGGATTATTTCACAAGCAAGGAAGGCTTCACCCCAGGAAGGCAGCCTGGTTCTGAATGTAAGGACAGAGTTGAGGCTGGAGAGGAGACAACAGTTAAGAAGGGATCAGTTCCTGGCGGTCCAGTGGTCAGGACTTGGAACAGGGGGCACCGATCCAACCCATGGTTGGACAACTAAGATGCCACAAGCTGCATCACGGAAAAAAAAAAAAAAAGGAAGGATCAGTGAGATAGAAGAGTGTGAGGAAGAAGACAAGTCAGACCCGATAAACAAAAAAAGCAAAAAATCTTAGCATTTCCTCTGCCTCTCAGGCTCTCATCTAATTCAGGTGAGGAAAGTACTTGGCAGTCGAAAGTCATTGTCTTTCACCAATTTTGGCATCAACACGGAGGCCAGAGGCAGGGCAGGGTCTCAGGGTTCAGACAAACCCTGCTGGAGACCACTGTGGGCACAGGATGTGAAGGGAGCCAGGCAGTGGTCTGCCCACATTCCATGGTTTCTCCTGTGTCGGGACAGACTGGGCCTCACACCAGCGAGGAGTGAACACACATCAAATAACTGAAAACCTCAGTGGGGAGCCTTGCCCGGTTCTATCTGTGCATCCCTGGCATATCACCAATGACCACAGAAAGATGGACACGTGTACAGTTTACACTAGCATTGATAGCTGTTTTCTGGAAGTCCACAGTACAGCAGAAGCCCCTGCCTGAAGCATTATCATGAACTGATTTCCCGATGATGAAGGGAAAATAAACAACACGCTCAGCAATTGTCAGGGGGCACGCAAACCTGTCTCCACCTCCAGAGCTGGGAACTAGAGCAGAAAGCTTCACTGCAGCACTTACTTTTAGGAATGTAATTGTGAACACAGGGTCCTCTTCTGATCTCTTCTGGTCCGCTCTGCTGTTTGCCAAAGTGGGCCAGTTAATTTGTGGAGTCAGTGGAGTCTTAGCCATAATCTGAAGACTTGGGCTCATACATTTAGGTATCAGAATGGAAGCAGGGCACCGTGCCAGGTGCCTCTTAATGGGAACCAAACATCCCAACGAGCATTTGTTCCAGAAGCCCTTACACACCATGCTTACACACTGTGCTTGTACACCACACTTGCAGGCTGGTAGCGTGGTCACTTCACAACCCTCTGAGTTTTCATAACTCCATGGCTAACACTTTAAGAGTTTGAACCACTTTAGAACTTACTGAAACTTTCTAAACTTACTTCAGACATCTCTTAAATCATTCACCAAGCTGACAATTATTTTTTTCTCCTTCTTTAAGCACAAAATCCTGTATAATCACTACTGTTTATTGACAGCTATGTAGGAGGTGGTGTGGGGGGGAGGGAGGCCTTTCTCTTGTCTGACTTCCTTTGACCCTCACACAACCTTGAGCAGTAGGTGGTGTTTTCCCTGTTTCATCCTGGGAATAATGAGGCTCCATGAGCCTGAAGTCATTCCCCAAATCGGGACCGCCCCCCTCACCAAGGTCTGTCTGACTCCAAATCCACACTCTGTAAGCCCTGTATACACAGCCTGGGGGATGACAGGTTTAGAAAATTCCTAGTGAGTCACCTCTGGAGTCTTATCTGCTCCTGAGGGAAAGTTTCAGAGGATGAGCAATGGGCCCCGGGACACACACAGAAAAATGCCGCAGTTCGGGCCATGAGGCCGTTTGCTAGATCTCAGGATGACAGGCGATCGCTGTGGTCGGCATGTCCTCGCCAGGAGGGGAGTGTCCTCCACCTAACCTCTCCAACCCGGTGGTCTTTCTAGTCGAAGATCCATGCCGCCCGCAGCCTGAGCGAAATTGCCATCGACCTGACTGAGACGGGGACGCTGAAGACGTCTAAGCTGGCCAACATGGGCAGCAAAGGCAAGATCATCAGCGGCAGCAGTGGCAGCCTCCTGTCCTCAGGTGAGCAGACCCCAAAAGAGGTCCCCCTGCAGCAGGGCTGCAAGCCCTGGGTTGGGGGGAGCGCTCCGAGGGTGGGTGAGGGGGGCGGTAAGGACCATGTAGCAGGCTCGGTGGGAGCTGGTTCTGGCGTCTAGAGCAAGGTTTATAGTCCAGCAGGGATCGGAGAAAAATGGCCAAAGGTGTGTGTGTCGGGGGGAGGGGGGTGGCGCGGAAGAACCACACAGTGTGGGGAGGACACACAAGGGTCTTAGAGCAGTGTCCAGAGCCTTCTTGAGGCCAGAGGAGTGTCTGCTCCAGGGGCAGAAGGTGGGATCCCTTGGGTGCCACTCAAGGAGAATTACCTAAGAAAGGGCTGAAGGTCTGAGTCATGGTGCTGAGTGACCTGCACTGTGTTCCCAGGGGAACTTCTTGAGGCTTTCAAAAGTACAGAAAACTCTTGATCATTTGGAAAGGAGAGTTTTGTTTTTTTTGAAGAGAGGATCAGCAGGTCTGATGCCGTCTGTCTCTGCAGGGCCCTGGGCAAGCGTTTATCATCCCTGTGACGTTGGGAGGGGCAGAAATGCCCCGAGGTTTCAAGTCTGGCTAGATTCAGGAGAAGGGACGCCTTTGCTGAAGTGACAGGAAGGGGAGCTGTTTGAGTTGGGCAAGGAATCCAAAGAGGAGGAGGCAAAAATTGCCTGAAAATGTTACAGAAGTATAATAATGCAGGTCACCCCCCCAGGCCACATGGTCATGGCCAGATTATTCTTGGGGCCAGTGTCTTCTTCCTTGCCTCTTAGCCAGAGGGTGAAACAGGAAGGCTTTGCCCTAGCTTATCTTCCAGAGTCATTTATATACAGCTGGTGGCAGCAGACAATAATAAAGTGAAATAAAAATGGGAAAAGATTCATCAGTACCATGATGACCTAGAGGACTGGGATGGGGAGGTGTGGGAGGAAGATCAAGATGGAGGGGATATATATACAGTTATGACTGATTTGCAGTGTTGTATGGCAAAAACCAACACAACATGGTAAAGCAATTATCCTCCAGTTAAAAATAAAAAAGAAACTTAAAAAAGGAAAAAGACAGGAGTGGGAAGAAAAGCTGAAATCTGTCTAGTTAATTTCTGGGCTGGTGGAGTCCAGTCAGAACCGGAACACATTCAGACCTGAAGGGCAAGGGTGAGGATAGACAGGCCTTTGTGAGGTCCTGAGGGGCCCACGGCCAGGTGTTCATGTGGCCATGGGTTTTATAAAATCTGTGAACATAATACATTTAGCCACCAAAATTATATAAGTGTCAGGCCCCACACAGCTGGCTCTGCCTCTGCTAGGTCACCATTAAGGATCATTGTCAACCCCTCCCTGTCTTGGATCCTTAAAATGTTTTCATCAATACAATGGTCTGAGTAATCATTATTTCTGAGGCTTACAGGGTTCCAGTGAAGACCATGAACAATGCTGTAGCAAAGAAAATCCCTTCCAAAGTCCAAGACCCCTGCCTGGAATTTCAGCCACTTCTGATTCCCTGCTGAATGAGGGAGGGCAGGGCCAGCACTGTGATTGTCCCTGAGACACTCCCCTATGTGCGTGCTTGGTTGCTAAGTCATGTCAGACTCTTTGTGACCCCATGGATTGTAACCCGCCCAGCTCCTCTGCCCATGAAATTCTCCAGGCAAGAATACTGGAGGGGGTTACCATTTCCTCCTCCAGGGAATCTTCCTGACCCAGGGATCGAACCCACATCTCTGGTGTCTCCTGCATTCGCAGGAAGGTTCTTTATCATGGAGCCACCTGGGAGCCCAGAGTCTCAGATTTGAGCCTGGATTCATCTTTCCACCATCCTCCTAATCTAGCCCTTATGAGGCTGATTCTTCCTCCAGCCTCAGCTAGGGCCACATCCCTGCTGTGGTTTCATATCCACTTGGAAATCCACATTCTTCCTTCACATGGCATGTTATACCCAGGAGGAGAATAGATTCTTCCAGCTCAGGTATATCAGAACCCCTTGGGAGGTTCCTTCAAACTCAGATAGCTGTGTACTAGCCCTGGAGTGTCTGATCTAAGAGACTGGGGTGAGACCAGAAATTTGCCTTTCTAGCAAGTTCCGACAAGTTCCCTGGTGCTGTTGATGCCGCTGGTCTGGGGACCTTGCTTTGAGAGTCTCTCTTCTTGTTGAAGAAGAGAGAAAAGCCTGAGGTAGGTGTACAGCTCAAGATCAAGGAACCTAGGTCTCCCCACTTTTACCAAATGAACCTAACTAGTATTTTTTTTTTCAACTATTTATTTGGCTGCGTTGAGTCTTAGTTGTGGCATATGGGATCTTCATTGTACCATGCAAGATCTTTCTCTGCAGCGAGCAGGCTTCAGTAATTGGGGCGTGTGGTCTTGGTTGCTCCTTGGTATGTGGGATCTTAGTTTCCCAACCAGGAATTGAGCCCACGTCCCCTGCATTGCAAGGATGCTTAACTACTTGACCCCCAGGGAAGTCCCTCCTCACCCTGCTTTTACACCTATGTCCTGGTCCATCTGCAGGGGCCCTTCATCTCTGGCAGCCTCCAGGGATGCAAAGCTAACAGCAGGTACAGAGGAATGGGTGAGCAGGAGCCCCAAAATTTCTAACACGGAACGACATTACTCAACCGTCAGAGATGAGATCCAGGCAGTTTTAATACTAGGAAGCAATTCCTCTCTGTCATCGCCATCAGCTTGACATTAATCAATCCCATGGGCTAGGAGATGAATCAACTGCTGAATCCACTCCCACACCTAAAATCTTTATCCCAGGATATTAGAGCTGTTCTAACTTAGTGATGAAGACCCCAGGCAAAGCTGTTTGGAAGTTGATGGAAGCAACCAGGGTCCCCTGACAGCACCCCTTCTGCAGCGGCTTCATTGGTAGGACCGAGGCCCTCTGGCTTTTCTCTGCCTGCCTTCTGCTGCTCAGCTAAGCAAGAGGAAGGCTGGGTGGAGGAGAAGGTGGGGAGGTGTGAGTCGTGCCTGTGACCAGGCCAGGGAGTGTGTGGCACTCGACCCAGCCCTGCAAGTTAGATCTTGAAGAACTAGCCTTAAATGCGGAGGTGGAGGCTCTGTGGGGAGGTTTCCCTCCTAACTTAGGAAAGGCCATGGGTCAGTGGAGGGAGAGACCGTGCACAGGAAGTATTCCATCAGCCAACACAGGGAACTTCTAGGACCTGTACTTCGGGCGATTGTGGCCTCCAGGTGTGTGGTTGCTGCGCCTCTGATTTTCCATATGCAGGAGAAAAAGATGCCTTCTCCTGAGGCCTTGTGGTCCCACCTGGAAGGGACAGTTGCCCATCCCCCAGGTGAAAATATAGGCTGGCTCTCCACCTGTGCTTTTCATCCTCTAGACTGGGGGTGCCCAACCTCTGGGCCACAGACCAGTACCTCCCTCAGATCAGTGGCAGCATTAGATTAGAAATAAAGTGCACAATAAATGTAATATACTTGAATTATCCCAACCCCCTCACCCCCACCCCGAGGCCATGGAACTGGTCCTTGGTGCCAAAAAGGCAGGGGACCACTGCCTTAGTGAATCCTTCTTAACTGCACATTGAGAGGCCTGAATTTTAGTGATGGGCTGGCATAAATGAGAGAGCATCAGTCTTCCTGGATGGACCTGATTTAAACACTCTTTTATGATACTTGCCAGAACTATGATCTACCTCTCATTCAGGAAATAGGATACAAATAACCTAGTGTCCTATTTGATCAGGTATTTTCATTTCCTTCACCTGTATTTTGTATTTGCATGCATGCCTGACTCTTTTCGACCCCGTGAACTATAGTCCATCAGGCTCCTCTTTTCATAGGATTTTCCCAGTGAGAACTAGAGTGGGTTGCCATTTCCCCCTCCAGGGGATCTTCCTACCCCAGGGATCAAACCCAAGCCTCCTATGGCAGGTGGATTCTTTATCACTGACCTGGGAAGCCCACCTAGTGCCTCGCTAAAAAAATAAAAAAAGATGGTGTCTAATAGTCCTGAAAAACATTTTGAAAAACTAATCATCACTCGAAAATCTTTTTTTTTTTTTTTTTAGCTCAGTGCCTGACACCCAATAGTTTCTCCATACATGATTTTTAAAAATTTTTTACATTATTTCCCCATGACTCATGTATTTGATGACTGGAAATTTTTACCTTTTGACCCCCTTCACCTATTTCCCCCACGGTAACCCCCTGCCTCTGACGACCGCCAATCTCTTCTTTTTATCTATGAGCTCAGGGGAGGTTATGGGTTTTATTTGTTTATGTTTAGATTCTATGTATCAGTGGAATCAAATAGTATTTGCCTTTTTCCAGTTTATTTCACTTAGCATAAAGCCTTCGGGGTCCATTTTTATTGTTGCAAATGACAAGATTTAATTTTTTTGTTACGACTGAATAGCATTATGTTGTGTGTGTGTGTGTTATAAAGTCACAATTTCTTCACCCATCCATCTACTGGTGGACACAGGTTGTTTCCATGTCTTGGCTCTTGTGAATAGTGCTGTAGTGAACATGGGGGTAGAGATATCTTTTCCAGTTAGTGTTCCATTTCTTCAGATAAATACCCAGAAGTGAAATTGCTGGGTCATGTGGAAGTTCTATTATTAGTTTTTTGAGGAACTTCTGTACTGTTACGCGGTGGCTGCACCCACTCACATTCCCACCAGCAGTGTAAGGAGAGTTCCCTTTCTCTTTCTCCACATCGTCGCCAACATGTGTTCTTTTTGATGACAGCCATTCTCACAGATCCAAGGTGATTTCCCATTGTGGTTTTGATTTGCATTTCCCTGAAGATTAATGATTCTGGATATCTTCTCATTAATGATACTGGTCATATGTATGTCTTCTTTGGAAAATGTCTCTTCAGATTCTCTGCCCATTTTTTAATTGGATTTTTTTTGTTGTTGTTATTGAGTTGTGTGAGTTTTTTACATATTTTGAATATTAGTCCTTTATCGGATATATGATTTGCCAACATTTTCTCCCATTCAATAGGTTGCGTTTTCTCTTTGTTGATGGTTTCCTTTGTTGTGCAGAAGCTTCTTAGTTTGATGTAGTCCCATTTGTTAATTTTTTTTTTTTTTAGAATTTATTTATTTGGCTGTGCTGGGTCTTCGTTGCCACACTCAGAAGTTCTGATCTCGTGGCAGTTTGTGGGATCTTTAGTTATGGAATGTGGAATCTAGTTCCCTGACCAGGGACTGAACCCGGGCCCCCTGCATTGGGAGTGAGACACCTTAGCCACTGGACCACCAGGGAAGTCCTGAGTCCCATTCATTTATTTTTACTTTTGGCGCCTCTGCTTTTGGTGTCAAATTTAAAGAAATCGTCACCAAGACTGATGTCAATGATACACGATTATTGAAATTAAATTTTGAAGGATACTAGTAAGAATCCTGTATGTGCTGCATTTTAAGAACCTTCTGTATTCCCAGAGTGTATGGTATCTTGGTCCTTGTCAGGATCTCTCATAAACCTACCACCAACATTTTCCATCAGATTGTCATGATGGTATCAGACCTTCAGGCTTTTCAGATCAGGCCCCTCCTGCAAATACCATCCATCTTCATTCTCTTTGATTCATCCTTCCACCCTTGTCTGTCTCCAAATTGTTTTGTAACTGAGCCGTATAACTGCACTGTGATATTTTACAGTATAAATATTTTTTTTCCAGCTCCCAAACTTGTCTAGGAACTATGCACAGCATTTTAAAAGTTATAGCCTCTCTCCTCAAAGAGTTTGCATGCTGTGTATTGATGTAAAACAGAGATAAAATATTGTCAACGTCTAGTAATTCTGAAGGCGATTTTCCTATTTAACAAGGCCACGTCATTACCAAGTACTGGACTTCAGTCATTTTAAAGAAATCTGAGGTCTCAGATGCTAAAGAAATGAAGAAATGTTATGGATATCGTTGAAGAAGTCAGAAGTCCACTCTTACTAATGGCCCATTCAGGGGCTAACGTTTCAAAAAGAAAGTCTGCAGAGTTGAAATGATTTACTAAGGCCCGGGGCCAGGACCCCTGAGATTTTCAGGGGTGACACCCAGGGCTGTCCCGTGGGAGATCTGAGTAGAGACCCTTAGAGGTGCTAGACCCTTAGAGCCTTCTGAACTCTGTTGGATCAAAAGGGGTCAAGCTCTTACTTCCTCACATTACACTGTATGAGATGCAGATTCTAGGAAGGTTAGGGAACCAAATCCCGAATCCATTTGTAAAGGGGTGCTGATGGGCAGGCTTTGAAAGACGTGAGGACCCTTGTCTCAGAGCACATCTTCTGAGAGATGGCCTGGCCTTCCCAGGGTCCCCAGAAGAGGGAATATGGAGGTAGCTCAAGGCACAGCCCCCCTTCCAGGCCAGCAGAGCCCCACCCACTGCCCCCATGGTGGCCTCCTCACTAGCTCTGCACCTCTGGGTACCCAGCCAGCCTGCTGCCTGACCACTATGGGGGACGTGGGGTGAGCAGGGGACATTGTAGTCACTGCCTAGTTGTTCAGTCACTCAGTCCTGTCTGACTCTGCTGCCCCATGGACTGCAGCACGCCAGGCTTCCCTGTGCTTCACCATCTTTTTCTTAAAATCTCAAAGATGA